TTTTATTGGCAGTTAAAAATTAATTGAACTATAAGGGAACTTCTGTGCTATGGAGATTTATCTTGCGTCATTTTTGTTCTAGCGATTTTTAAGGAAAATTAAATTATTATTAATGGTTGGAAGATTTGCTCTGGAAGAAACGACCTAACTACGCCGAAAAATAATGTTTATATATTTTCAATCAAATAAAGCAGGGCAAAAAATTCAGGTGTCACAACTATTCAAATATAAAGATAAATAGTTATAATGTTTTGAAGATTTTTTTTTTAAATAACTTAATTTGGCTTGTGGAAAGCATGAAAGAAAATATATTCAAAAACTACACTATAGAAAACATTTTTCATTAAAATAAAATAACTCAAAAATATGCAGGTGTCCCCTTTACCAAAATATAGGTTCATTTTATAAAACTGAAATACACAAAAATAAATATTTTTTGCTGTTTTAATCCGCTTCCATTAATGGGAACTTGCCAATTAAGCAACTTGATTGCGCCGCTAGCGCTTTCCATCGTTTAAAAAAAAACCACAAAAAATGAGGGGAAAAAAACTCAGTAGGGATCTTCGAAAATAATATTTAGCACCTCGCAGCTGTCACTTGTTTTTCATTCATTTCCATTAAATTCATTAACCATCCATGCACGACATGTGCATTTTTTTATCCATTTTAATTTTTGTAAAATATTTGTATTCATCCAAGCATGAGCTTCAATTTTTGCCAGATTTCGCTGGAATTTAACGTTTTTTGGATCCACTTGGTGGTGCTGTGAGAGTTTATAACTAGCGTATTAAGCCCGCGATTGCAATATGTAATTCATCTGGTTCACAATCGGTAAACAAAAAGTGTGTAAATTGTAGACTCGTTTTTTCACTTTTGTTTGTAGTAAGAAATCCATTTTTTAAATAATAACATACGTTCATGAGTATTTTAAATTGTATATGTTCAGTTTAAACGTAAAGCTAGAAAAAAAGTTCTTCCAAAATTAGTAATTCTTACGAAATTTATTTAAAATGTGTGTTTAAGAAGTTATAAACCACTTTGTTTAATAAAGTAGATTTAGTAAATTTTGTGACTCATTTTCAATTTTGGCATTTCATCTGATGACCTCATTTGGCCAAGGTCGTGGCGTTAACTTGGAAATTTCTGGTTCTTGCTCATTTTTGGCACATAATCGACATGTACGTCAAATTTATGTTTTTCTTATATTTTGTGGGCACCAGACATTGGCCATAAAATGTCCTCCAGCTAGAAAACTAACCAGAGAAAAGGCGGTTGGGCGACAGTGGGCGTGACGATGAAGGCGAATCAACTTTTGGCCATAACGTTTAAAGTCAAATTACGGCAAATGGTCGCAAAGTGTGTGATTTAAATGCACTTGTGCGACACTTTAAGACGCTCAATTGCTCGCTTTATTGTGTGGCCATAAAAAGGCAGTCCCCCTTCACATTCCTCTCCGAATTTCCACATTCCCGCCACCAACAATTTCCCGGATTTTCCCGGGTGAAAGCCGAGCAATTGTCGCTTGAGTCACGTTTGTCACATAAACTCGGCGCTTGGCTGCTAGCGGTCAAACTGAACAAGTGAAAAACTATTATTATTTGGTGGCATGCTCTTAGACAGCCACCAAACCACCGAGTTTTCCACTTTCCTACTTTCAACCCCTTTAAACCGGATTCTGTTCTGTTCGCAGATCCAAAAGCTTAATGTTTTTTCTTTTGTTTAACATTTTATGTGTGTCGAAAGTTTGCCGCCCGCTTCCTGGTTTTGGTTTTTTTTTATTTTATTTCTGGATTTCAGCTTTTCCTTTGACGATGCTGTAATTTTTTCTCTTACTTATTTTGCAGCTTTCTTCTCTGCGTCAGCGGAAAAATTAATTTCACTTTTTGAGTCCATCGGAATTTCGGTTGGGATCAATGAAAAGTCGTAAACTTTTAGGGGAGAGCCTTGAGTAATGGGTGTATTTTAACCAGCTATAAAAAAGGTTTACAAATTTACATCTTTAAAAATGCATTATGAAAAGTCTATTAAAGGTTTAATAAATAACAATAAGTCTAGGGCAGATCGTGTTTTGGTAAAAATAAATTATCATTTAAAAATGTTTAAATAACAGCAACAATATTGATATTTTTGCAATTATGACATGTTTATTTGAAGTTGATACTAAATTGTTTTTAAGGTCGTCATAAACGTATGATTAGATAACTATTCTGAAGATTTTCTACTTATAACAGTGGCTCTTTAACAAAATTAATTTATTTTTAAAACTTGAATATTACGGTGGGTCTTATCTTCTTAAATAAATTGACAAGTTATAATAAATCTGTTTTTTTTGCTCGTGGTTAGATCTAAACATTTTATGGGAATATAATGATTTTATTATGGCATATTTGATTATAATAGTTATTTAATGTGCTTTGAAATTGATAATGCAACTTTCTGAAAGTTTTCTACCATTGTATAAACCGGTATAGCTAATAAGCTACTTGATAGTTGGTCTTACATTAAAGATCTATAAAGCAAATATATTATTTCGTAATAAAATCATTGATCATGCTGATAATATCAAGCAATGTTGAAATTAACATAATATAAAATAAATGCTCCCAAATTTTTTTCACCACCAACTTTTTAATCTAATTTCTAGACATTTATAATTTTAGCGCTCTTAACTGTCAGTTGCTAATTTATGCGCAGGGCTTAGAAAAATGCCCAGCAGCTTAAGCCGTTTACATAATTTATTGACCGTGTTACTGATGTTGTACCTGAACCCCTGAAAGTAAATAATAATCCCGCCCGAGGAGGGTTTCGAGAAATTCGAGGGTACAAAACCGACTGGGATGGCTGGGAGATGTAGGTGAGCGCGATACCAGGCGTTAATTGACAGTAATTTTATTAGGTAAATGAAGCCGCTGTGAAAAATATAAAGCGGATCCAGCGGCCGGGACGCGCTTAACAAACTCGTAAATATTTAACAAATTATGCGATTTTAATGAGCTGGAAAAGTGCAAATCACTGGCGGCTTTTCCCGCAAGTTGGGGGAAATGAATACGGTGGCAATATGTATATAGCCGCATGTACAATATATACATATTAATTGAAATGCGGCAGCGGTTGAAATCAATTCAATGTCACAGAGTGTGGAGTGCATAATGTATGGAAACAATCAGAGAAGAAGTGGTAAACCCATTCAACACTCCACCGTCCAATTAAGACACAACAACTGAGCCACAAAGTAAAACAAGAGAGAAGGCCAGAATAACACACAGAAAGTCAGTTTGTAACTTGTGAAGTCAAAAACTTTTAGGTAAATGTAATCAAAGTTTGATTTTAAATGTTGGTGATATAATTTTATTATTTTAAAAACCATAATTTATAGTAAATTATCAATAATAATTTAATTTTAATCGTTTACTTTAAAACTCGGCTGTGGATCAAAAGTGAGTTCCTCTTCGGATTAACTTATCTTACGTTATAGCTTATAGCCTTATTTTGAATTGTTTCATATAATGCACCGCCTTCGAATAAAGTTTTCAACAGCTTTACCGCTGAATGGTATCAAAACCGGACTTGCTTCGCAAAGGGTTAATCTCAAAGCTCCTCAAATTGTTTTGCCAACAAGTTTTTCGGCGGGGTGACAGCGATTGCCAGTCCCAATTGTTGTCATACATTTTCATGCGAGCTCATAACATTTTATGCACAAAATAAATTTGCATGTTGCACTTTTGAATAATCGCACGCCGTTGACAAACAACTGGTTGCCAAAATCGTTCGCTTGGAAATATGCTCCCCTCAATCTGATCCCTTAACCCCTAAGTCCCTTAACCCCTAGGGGACAATCCAAAGAGAGGAACTTTCCTGGCCATCCGCCAGTTGGCAAAATGAAGCCGCTTTTGAAAGAAAGGAGTTTGTACACTAGCAAAAAATTATTCTTTTATATTGCTATCAGGATAAGGAAAATATTGCTTGTGACAAAAATAAGTTAGAAAAAACTTTTTAGTTTTATTTTATAACGAACCTCTAGATGTGTACTTTGTATAGAAGTTATAGTTTACGTAAAAAAAGTTAAAATATAGCAAAGTTTAAAATATTTGGACTTTGAGCCTTAATAAATTAAATAATATACATTAGCTTCTTTAGATGTAAATAAGTTTCAAGTTATTTTTTCTAATCTAAACTTTGTATGCCATATTTCTTGAGAAATTTTTCAATGTGTGTAGGAGTTAGTTTAGGAGCAGTATCTTTTCGCCAGAAGCAGCCAAACCAGACACGTAAATTCGGGACAGAAAACGACAACGACGACAACGACAACGACAGGAACAACGAAAAAGACAACGATGAGGAAGGACGACATCCTTGCATGAATGAAATCGAGCTGAGGCGGCAGCCAGCAGTCAGCAGCCCCAAATGAAATGCCATTAATTTGGCAAATGAATGCGGTTCCGTTGGTTGTTTGACTGACTGAATGGCTGACTGACCGACTGAATGGCCCAGTGACAGAAGGAGGCAACGAAACCAAAACCAGACACTCCACTTCACAGCAATTACCCAACAAGTGTAGGCAAATTTGAACTCGACTCAACTCAACTCTACTCGACTCAACTCAATTTGACTTCTGCGGCTAAAACAACAACTGGGGAAATCTTCAGTTGGTCAAATATTATTTTAGTTCAGCAGTGCTTTTGGGGGTGGACTTTTAAATTTATTTTTTTAATATGATTTTTTTGATTGCTTGTGAACTAAGGGAAAACATACAATAAGTATTTAACTCGAAATAAAGGCAAGATTTCTATTTCTTCTCGTAAAAGTTTTTTTTTGAGAACTGAGACACACCGAAATTTGATTACGATTGAACTTGTTGTTGTAGACCTGCACTTTTTCTCGAATCAATTGGAAAGTTGCAGTTGCTTGATCTATACATTCCTCGGTATATTCAAAATCCCACTGATCATGGTTTCGGTTTTCTCAGAGTTTTCAGTAAAATCTTGATAAACTAAGAAGTTTTAATTGTTATTCTTGAACATAATTCCTAAAATCGCCTTGGCATCTTGCGTGGGTTGTACTGCGTTTTGTGGAATTACTAGTCGAGGAATTGGATACATTCATATCTTTTGAAGAATGCTTCTGTACCTGTAATTCTCCGTCCTTTGAGGAATTACTTGTCAAAGAAATGTTATGTGGCTTGACCAAGCCAATAGCACTTTTCCCATTTTCTTGGGCAATTTCATCCTTCCGCACCATATGGTTGTGTTCATAGAAGGTTTTGAACCACTGAGCAAACTCCAGATTTTCGCGATAGGCACCATCAACCATTCGATGAATGGGTATTTGCTTCTCAACGCCTTGATTCTTAAGGCCCTTTTGCAGCAATTTCATATTGTGGATGAAGCCAGCCTGAGTTTTCGTGGTCAATAGAACCTTTTTAAGATTAATGGCCCAAGGACAGAGCTTGTGCAACAGCTTGCAGTATTCCGCTCCGGAACAGAGGTCCTCCAACTGTTTGATATTCACATCAAGGCTTTTATTAACCCAAACAAGGATCTCGCGATCTGAATACATTTTTCGCGAATTTTTCACGTTTCCCGCATTGCATACGTTTTCCATTCGGATCATGATGACTTTAAAAGTAAGATCTCGTAGCAAAATAAGGTTACAAAATCACGTATCGAGAAAAATTGTGAGAGTAAAAAGTAGTTTTGCTTTTTGGGATGTGTAGAAAGTAACTGGCTAAACGAAATATATTTCACAAAAAGGCTTGACTTTTAGGATTCCATGGCCGCTCTGATGTAAAATTTTGTTATGCTGATCTTGATTATGAGATAAATAAACAACAAAAATTAAAAATCACGTCTGTAAGGTAACTTCCATTAGATTAAATTAGATTGATTTCTCAATATATATATATATTTATATATATATATTTATATATATACATTTATTTCTTTTGAATTTATATGTGGGTGTATTACCACCACTAATCCACATCTCCAGCCCCTCTGGCCAACGCTTTAGATCTGATTAGTGCTGGCACCAAATTGGTTGTTCCTGTGTCATCTGGCCATATTTCAGGCAGCCTTCAGTTCACTTCACTTCGCCCCAGTTCGTGTGGGGTCATCTATCAAGCAAGTGCTGCAAGTGCTGTATAATATTTCTGTCATTATGCTTAATTATCTGGTTCCTGTGCAATGCGTCAACGTTGACCTGACCGCTGACACGCCCCCCGCCCACTAGATTTTACCGCCCCCTTTGTACTTGCGTGCTAGATGGCAAGCTCCAATGTAAAATTAGTTGCGGCAGGTCACTTCAACCTCAGTCTCTTCACATAAGATTGGGGTTGAGGTCCGAGGTTGGTTGGTTGGTTGGTTGGGGCACATTATATCGCGTGTAGTGAGCAGGCGGGCCATAAATGAAATCTGCTGCCACTTTGTCGCCCATTGTTTAATAATGAAATTAAATCGTTTTGGCCGACAAAGTCTACACATACAAAAATAATAGTAAACTGTGCAAAATAAATGAATTAGAACTGAAACAAATTGGAAGAAATGGATATTGTTAGTGAAATGTTTGAATTATAATTACCTTATTAACTATGAATTATATGAATCTAAACTGTAATTTCATTCCAAATTCTGCATATTTGTGCATATTCATTACAATACTATTTTGAAAGCTTTTGTCGCTAGTATTTTGATTCAATACATAACAAATAAATAAAAATGGATCTGGTTAGAAAAACAAATTTGTAAAAGTTTGCTATTTTTGTTAAATATGTAATTTTCACATTCAATTATTTTGTAAACTATGAATTATTATATTTTATAATTATTATATTATTATTATATTACTTATTTATTATTGTCATTTCTTTCAGAGCTCGTTAACTATTTGTTTTTATACTATTTGCTTTTGCTTTTTGCATACTTTGGAGAACTGTATCAATTATTTAAGATGTAACATAAAGTACATTTTAAAATTTGAAATTTGGAGAACATTAATATAAGAATAGCACCCTTGTCCTGTTTTTTTCCTGTGAATGGGCTTGAAGGCTAGAAACTGAACCCCAATCCGAAGCTAACCCCATCCGCTTCTCACTTGTCAGCGCTCTTGTTGACGCTTGACAAATGGCTTTGGGTGGGGATTTTGCCCCTTATTTCTTCTTTTGATTTACTGCCACATTTTGTATACACATATATTTTTTCCCTTTGTTTGGAAAGCAGCGTGAGCGAACTTAGACTAATTCAGAGCGAAATGGATGTAAAAAAGTGAAATGTGTTGAGGTTGGCTAAGTGAAATGTCAGGCAATTGTTCAACGTCCAAACGAAAACCTCAAACTGTTCCCAAATTGCATGCGATGGACGAGTTATGTGTGTTATTACCGCCTTTTATTTTTTCTATAGTCTACATGTTATAACAATTTATACCCTCTATCTTGCTGAAAACTATTGTAATAAATAATACTAATTTATAATAATTTCGTTTAAACTAAAGTGATTTTGGTTTTTAATAGAAATTATATTTAATAGAAATTATATTTAAAAAAGAGTAATACAACAACAATCGCTTTCTAAATTTATTTTTAAGATCGCTTCGTTTTCCACTACTTAGACATATGTATCCTCTCTATAATATGTACTTTTTAAATATTCATGTAGGGTATTTGCATGATTGCTCAGTTGGCTTTCCTTGCGTGTTAACTTTTTTTTTTACTTTTCTTGCAGTTCCCGGCAGTTATTTTATATTTATTTTTTGCACTATTTTCAATGATAATTTGCGCGCTTGTTGATTTGGCAGCTAATTACATAGTTGTTGCACTTTACGTTTTTTTACATTCAACAATTTTATAATTTTACGAGTTATTTGTGTTTAATTTAATGTGCAATTTGTTGGCGGGCAAATGGCGCTCGGGGCTCTCACAGGAAAAGAAGGGGGAGGAAAATGTGAGTGAAGGTTGAGAGGATGGATGGAAATGGATGGAAAGGGATGGCAATGGGTGGGAAAAGGAAGAATTAAGCCAAAGGGCAACAGTTACTGGCCGTTGGCTGTTGTGTCAAGTGCTTAAAGTGCCCGAAACAGTTGCGCTGCGACATAAAATAACAATTACGCAATTAATTGCAGCATTTCAATAATATTTAATGAAGCGTAAACAAAATTAAATGACAGCGGTACAAAGCCAGGCCCTACATGGCAAAATAATTGCAAATGACAAAAGTGGAAAACAAATTTCACATATTACTTTATGTATACTATATACAGGCGAACGTGCGTAATATTTTGTATACACAATTATTTAAAAGGAGCCTAGAATTTATGTATTTGGCTTATTATATCATCTGCAAAATTATTATGTGCTCAGAGCGTAAAAATTGTATGCGAAGAGGGTCGTCAAAATATAAAATTTAGTGCCTAAATTTTTAACTTATGCATGTATTGTGTGGGATTTAAAGTATTTTAATGATTTTGGAAAGTTTCAAAATTTCGTTGATTATGTATATAAAATATTTTAATGATTTTTAATCTACGCGGTCTTAGATATTACTTTGTATATATTATCTAATAATTGTTAAGCTCAAATATTAAATTAGTTTTGCATATGTCCAATTGAAAGCTTAGATATAATCTTAACAATGCTTATTCAGATCTTTGTGTTTAAATACAAATTAATGCAATCTGAGCTTTTTAATGAGTAAATAGATTCTAATTTTGTTTATCACAGTTATAGCTAAACGTGAAATGGATGCTTTTTGATTGACTTTAAATCTTGAGACAGAAATTAATTCCAAAATACAGCAAAATGAAATGAATTTCCGAAACACTTGAACAATCGGAAGAACTCGTTTTCGGATACTGGCTCATGGAAACTAAAAGGATTTTCCTGACTCGTGGCCATATTTTCACTCCTGCTGGCGGCGGTCACATAAATCTCAGCCACTTAATAGACGACTGCATAATTTAACAGATAAACAAGCAGGCAAACGAAGCGACGACTCGGCAGAATGCATGTGCCAATGAGTGGAAGAAAAATGCTTTGAAAAAAGCCGAGGAAAATAGACGAAAATAGAAAATGAAGTCGGCCAGGAAGAAAGAAGGAAGAGCCGAAAGCAAGAGCTAATTGCCAAATACTAAATTACCCATTCAGCAGTAAAAACATTCCAAGCTCAAGCTCGGCCCGTTGAAAGCTCCGAAAATGTGGTGTAAAACGTGGCTGGAAAGGAAACCAGTCGGCCAGTGGGCAAATATATTTCGAATTTGCTGTCAATGCGAAAAAAACACTCTACAAAAGTACTCACATACATCTAATGCACTGCTAGAAAATATGAAGAGTTTAATCGATTTAATTCAAACTTTTAAACCTATTTTTTATATTAAAGAGATTACAGTTTTTTTTTATGAGGTATTTTGATTGATTTTATTCTATTAAAATCGTAAGACGATTTAACGCAATGGTAAAAAATAAAAATAAAATACTTATTTTAAAAAGTTTTTTATAAAAAGAAGTTTAACATTTGTTTAAAAATTTCTTTATAAAAAATATGTTGTACATGACTATTATTATTTAAAATTGCAAACTCATAACGTTGCTTCATGGCTCTTTCGTGCTTGAAATACTACGAAAATTATATTTTAAATAGAAAATTTTAGTTCAACATTCCTCGTAATCATTCGCAGTGTACATACATACATAAAGAGTGAGTCCTGTCGAACGAGCCCAACGAGCAGGGCGTGGTTCTCGGAGTGGTATGGGCTTGGATTTGCTGATATGGAGTAAACGGCAGTAGCTGCGGAAAGTAGCCAAAAGAAATGGGACCCCAAAAAGGGGGTACAAATAGAATGGGGGACGGGATTTGGCCAAGTGTTGAGCGCACCCATGGTTGACCAAGCGAATGCGCTGCTTTGGCCAAGAAATTAGCCGGAGATTTCGACTCGAGTGCCTCGAAGGGATGGGCAAATATGTGCTCATTGATATCGATGTTTTATGACTTTTTTATGGCCAGTAGCAGAGGGGCATAAAAAGTTGTCACTATCGAAATGATGTGGGTGCGGTATTCGCCAAGGAATTGAATATAAATATATATATTTACTTACCACTAATAGTAAACATTAATAATAAAATATTATGTGTCATTAAAGTATGTAATAATAAGTATAAGATAAGTTTATCGCTGGTACAACTTATAAACATTTATTTTGACAAATTACTTTTTTGCGACTAGCTGCTACAATGATTTTAGATATTTAATGTTTATTGAACTTTAGAAAAATATTTAATATTGTTAAATTCCTAACATTAATCTGGGCTTTCTAAAAATCTTTTCTAATTTAAAAATGTTTTGTTTTATGATTTTCAGTTCCGAATTCAACTTAGTGCCAAGTGCACCTGCTGAAAAGCCACTGAATAGTCTCAGAAGGGTATTTCTCGGGGATAATAGCTCGTTCGATGGTCGTATAAGTAAGCACATACTTCCATGGGAAAGTAGTTCAAAGTGTAGTTTTTGAAATGTAAAATTATAAGCAATGGCTATGCCATTTCGGTCATATCCGCTTCCTCCCCCCGCTCGTCA